AGGCTCACCTTGGTCCGGCGCCTCCCCCGACCCGGCCCAACCTCTCCCCTCCCCTCCTCCCCTCCGTGAGCCAGGCCCAGCGCCCCGGAGGCTCGCCCTCCCTCCAGGCCCCACTCACCCTGCACCTGTCCGCAGCCCGGTCACCAGCCTCGGGATCCGCAAGGACTGTTAGATGCAGACAGTTGCCGGAGCGGCTCCTGGAGCTCTGGGTGCCGGCTCGAGCCCAAACCACGCCCCCACTCTGGCCACGCCCCCACCTCGAGCCACGCCCGCGCACTGTGACGCCCGCCCCTCACAATGGCCACGCCCCCAGGGCATAGCCACGCCCCGTTCTTTAAACGCACCCTTGAGTCAAGACAAATCCTCACCCGCTGGACACACCCCTGTCACCACAGGCCACGCCCCTAAGCCAGAGCGACCTTCTGTGCAGCGAGACCCTGAGTCCCATCCCACCTTGTCCTCTTCCCAGATGCGAGTCCCAACACTGAGGGAGCCCCCAGCCCAGTCGTCCCAGGAGCCCGGCGCCTGGGGGTCCTCATGAGCGTGAGCTCGCGGGTCTGCGCAGCTCCCTCCGGTCACCCCTCTGTCCTGCGGGCTCCGGCTCCACCCAGCTGCTCGGCTGCCCTTCCCCGCACCGGCCCGCGGGCTCTCCAGGCCGTCCGCTGGGGCAACCACGGCGTCGCTCTCTCTTCTCTCCGGGGCCACTGGCCCGCACCTCTTGTCCAATGTCTGAACGCCGTGATTTTCATCTGTTTTGTCCAGTTTTTTGGCTAAAAATGGAAGATGACAAGTCTGCTCTGTTTTGAGTGATGGCCTCTTCATTGAACCTTTCGCAATTTTATCTTTGATGTTCTTAAATTTCACTGTAGTGGAGGGGTGTTTCCGGGCCTTTCCTGTTCAGAGCTCCGACCTTTCTCTCCAGGTCGTTTTGTGTGTGTGTGTGTCCCGTCCCCCCCCCCCCCCCCCCCGCACGTGACATCCACTTACACTCTCCTCCCCTCATCCGGGGAGCTTCCCCGGATTTGGAGGTTCCTGGGATGCGGCTGAAATCTCGACTTCTAGCCTTTTCATGTCTTTCTTCTCACTGAAGCCCCTGCAAACCTCTTCCCACAGTCTGCTCCCGCTCTGCACTCTGGCTCATCTGACTGAATCTTTTTGTTTTCTCTTGTCTGATTCCACATCACAATATTAGGCAGGAAAAAATGTTTCCTTGGAAACTGAGCGCCAAAGACCAAGGATCTTTGTCTGTGCTAAGTCCGCCCCCTTGTGAACCACCAAGCCGAACCCTGTTTCTTTGCGCGGGATGCTGGAGCCCAGGCGCTCCTGGTCCGTCCTCGGTGGCTGCAGAGCTCAAACGGCCATCCGCCCGGAGTTTTCTCCCGGGAGCTCCCGCAGCCTGGCTGGAGGGCAGGCCAAGCACACTGCCCGTTGGGGGGGGGGTGATTAATGGAGGACACACGTGCCCAGAACCCAAACACGGCGGACTGGGGTCGCCGACCTACGCTGTGCACCCCTCTCGGCCGCAGTGCCACAAAGATCTCCCCTCCTGTCTTCTAGGATCCTCACTAAACGTCACACGTCTTCTGCCGTGGTGACAGCGCGCCACCTGCAACCTGCGGCCACCTGCACGCCAGCCGCCACCCGCACGCCAGCCGCCACCCGCACGCCAGCCGCCACCCGCACTCCAGCCGCCACCCGCACGCCAGCCGCCACCTGCACGCCAGCCGCCACCCGCACGCCAGCCTCCACCCGCACGCCAGCCGCCACCCGCACGCCAGCCGCCACCCGCACGCCAGCCGCCACCCGCACGCCAGCCGCCACCCGCACGCCAGCCGCCAGCCGCGGTCCACGCGCGGGGGCGCAGCACTGAGCAGGCGCTCCTCCACCGGGCCCACCCGTCCGCAGGGCCGCAGTGACTTGACGGGCGCATGCGTGGAGAAAGGGTGCACTTTCCAAGTTCTGCTCAGCAGAGGCCACTATTCGCGCGTTTCTTCACTCCCAGGCGCTACATCTTCTCCTCGGAGAGCCTGCCCTCTGGGGAGTTTTGACATTGTTTCCACTCCACTCCCTTGGCTCACAGGGCAGCAAGTCAATGGCAGTTCACCAATTTGCCGGGAGCTATACACCCTTCCGTGTGAAGGGGAATTCTTGGCCGCGCCTGCCACTGAGGCAATAGGGAGGAGGGACTGCACATTTTGCTTCGTTTCTCTGCGGCGGCATCTGGTTTAACTTGGGGGGCCTGTAGGCCACTCATTTCCCCTCTGTGAAGGCCGCGTGGGCGACAACATTTCTGCGTAATTTGGGATGGAGCAGAACAGTGGGTGAACTTTTGTCCTCAGTCATAAGCGGCCTTGCATTGTTTTTTGATCCATTTCAGAGACTTTAGAGACAAAATGGGAAGGTTAACTGACCCCAAGTTGGGCAGCAGTAAGTATGGGGATGGGCAAGGGGCCCTCATGATGACAGGAGAGGGCTGTGTGGAAGGAGCAGCGGCCTTGCGGGACCACGCGCCTCGTGGGTAAGTTGGACCAGGAACCGGCAGCCAATGCGGGGATCAGACCTGATCCTGCCGCTGACCCCTCCCCCAGCAGGGGCGCAGCTCCTCTGTTCACACTTCCCGCTCAGGCAGGTAGGGGAAGGTGAGACAAAACCAAGTGCGCGCTCCAGCAAATGTCACCTGTGCCATCAGCTGAGTCCAATCAAGAGCTCTATTTTTTAAAAAATACATTTTATTGATTTTTTACAGAGAGGAAGGGAGAGAGATAGAGAGTCAGAAACATCGATGAGAGAGAAACATCGATCAGCCGCCTCCTGCACATCTCCTTCTGGGGAGGTGCCCGCAACCCAGGTACATGCCCGTGACCAGAATCGAACCTGGGACCCTTCAGTCCACAGGCCGACGCTCTATCCACTGAGCCAAACCGGTTCGGCTATTTTTAAAAATACATATATTTTTATTGATTTCAGAGAGGAAGGGAAGAGAGAAACATCAATGAGAGAGAATCATTGATCGGCTGCCTCCTGCACGCCCCCTACTGGGGATCCAGCTGGGCATGTGCCCTTGACTGGACTTGAACCCAGGACCCTTCAGTCTACAGGCCAACGCTCTATCCACTGAGCCAAACTGGCTAGGGCAAGAGCTCTACCTGTATTTTTTTTTATGGTGCAAAGTCTTAGTTAACTTTTTCCTTTACTCACATTGGTGCTGATAACTGTGTACTGAAAGGGTTACCTGAAACCTTTTAAATATACATTTTTCCATCAAATCAAACTGACCACTACATTTATTTACCTCAAAGAAAGGTCACCTCTGTGATGGGGAAAGGATGCACCCTGTTCTCGGAAGTGTGAACAATTTGAGAAAATAGGAAACGTTTACACACATTAGTTTTTTATTGAAGAGGCAGTTCAGACCCACTCATATGTGCAAAGGGTAGGATGACAAAATATGTAATGACCCGTCACCTTTCAAATATTTTACTTAAAATATACATTATGGTAATTAAGCTTTATGGTCACAGTGTAGGAAATTTTAGCAGTTGCCACGGAAACTACTATAAAGAGTATTTCCTGCACAGAATTATGCAAAATCTACCATGTACTTCCTGTTCTGCAGCATATTCATACTCATCTAGAAAAATATGGCAAGAGTGCTGAGCAACAGAAATGGTAGACATCTGGGATTTTAAAACTTTTTATGGAAGTCTACACACATGCAGACACACAACACACAAGTCCCGCGTGCACACAACGCTGGGATATTCAGCACCCACATTTCAAATAGAACGCGCATCACCAGTGAACCCCACCCCCCCAGCCTGTGCCCAGGCCAAAAGGTCTCCTGTTGTCTAAGTGCATAGACCAGTTTGCCTGCTCCTATTGTAACTAGGACTCACACACGATGATCGCTTTTGTATGGATTCTGTCATTTGATTGTATTTGTGAAACTAAGCTGCATCATGGTATGTTAATTCTCTGCTTTACAGGATTCTGAGTGGAAATACACCACTGAAGTTCATTCACCCTACTGCACATATGCCTTCAGAGAGCTCTGGGTTTTGCGTTCTATACCACGAACATTCCAGTCCATGTCCTTTGGTGGACATCCCGACGTTTCTGCTAGGTTTGTGAAAAGCATTCGCTTGAAGTCCTGGCTTTCCAAAATGGTCCTAGCGATTGGCAACGCCAGCGGCAGCATGGACTTCCTGTTCCTTCCATTCTTGCCCACACGTGTTCTCCCATGCTTTTCACTAACTATTTCAGGGGGGGGGATGGGAGGACCACATGAAGGAACTGTCCTGGAACTCACGAACCAGGTATGTCTCTCTGTTTTGCAGCTGTTTTTGTTTCTACCTTTATAGCATGGCGAGGTAAGCTTTCCCCTAGGCACTTGAGGATTTTTGATGCTACTGTAAGTGGTATTGCTTCCAAATTTTTCATTTTCTATGTTTACTGCTGGTATAGTAAAGCAATTTTTCATAATGAATTTGTATGCAGGGACCTTGCTGACTTTACTCATTAATTCTAATTATCTGTATAGTTCTCAGACTTTTCTACATACAAAATCGTCATTTGCAATAGAAGTTTCACTTCATTCACTTTCTTGGCTAGGTTCTTCTGCCCAATTACCTATATATAAAAGGCTAATATGCTAAGTGTCCCTCCACCCATCCGACCAGTTGGTATGATGTGCACTGACCACTGGGGGCAGATGCTCAACACAGAACTGCCGAGCTGCAGTGACTTGGCAGTAGCGGTTCTCAGGTGACGCACCCTGAAACCAGAGAGGGGGAGCTCAATTCCTCTGGGGGCCACGCAATTCCTTCTTCGGCCATGGGTTATGCTTTTGCTGGGGCACTGCTGGCCCCAAATTTGGTTTACTGCACACTTGCATTTGCATTCCATACCATGTACGACAGCAACTTTGCAGAGTGCTGTCACACTCTGGGACCCCTCGGGGGATGTCGGAGAGCCGGTTTCAGCCTGATCCCTGCAGGCCAGGCCGAAGGACCCCACCTGCTGAAAGGACCCTGCTCACTCTGCAGATGTCAGGAGGGACCACAGGAGGTTGGCTCCAGGGTGTGTCTGGCCTGTCTCAACCACCTTCTAAGTAATTTCCATTCAATGTGCATGAATCAGTGCACCAGGTCACTAATACTGAATAAAATTAGTGATAGTAGATATCCTGTCTTTGTTATCTTGGGAGAAAACTTTCAATATTTCACCACTAAGCATGTTGCTGACTGAAGTGTAGGATACTCTGTATTCCACTAAAGAAGCTCCTTTCTACCCAGTTTGCTAAGAACACAGGTGAATGGCGATGTCACCACATTTGTTTCCTGCCTGCTAGATTACTTTCCTTCATGTGGTGTCACAGTTACTGATTACTCCCCTTCCTGGAGTAAGACAGATCTGATCACTCTGTCTGCCCAGGACGGGGTCATACAACCACTATGAAAGAGCTACAGGCAATCAAAATGGATTATCACGATTGGTTTAGACTAATCAGGACTTACCCTCTGAGTCATGTTAAGAAATGATAGACACCAAACTCTTACATCAAGGCAAGAGAGGAGCAAGGACATTGAGTTAATAAAAATATGTCTGCTAGAAATTGTATTAATTTTTCCAAAATACTGGAAATAAGGGGCAGTGCACAAAATAATGACACTGTGTTCATATCAAATAAAAGTATAGATAACGTTTCTGAATTACATAATACTGGCACACTGCACAATCAAACGTATGGGTTAAAAAACAGGAGTGGGATGAGCGCTGGGCATATTTTATAGAGTAAGAGCAGCAGAGTTGTCCTTAACTATTGTTTATGAAAATAGTATGTTTTAAAACCTTTTTTTGCTCAAATGTAGTTGAAAAATACGAAAATCACTATTGGTGAGGCATTTATTAAAAACCCATTTATAAGTGCATCAAACGAATAGAAACTTACGCACTTAACTATTCTTTACCTGTCAAACATCTCACCAACGTTTTGCCATTTTAATACTCAAATAAGAATACTGCCTTTTCATAAATTATTCAAATCCAAACTTGCATAGAATTATTAGATTGCATTTTTAAAACATGATAGAAACTTCCATATAAGTATTTAATGCTACTGACCTTATTATCAAGTCCTGATGGTTTGAAAACTTCGTTTTATACAATAAAGGTTTACAGGTGATAGCTTCTGATATCTTTCCTATAAACATGTGATTTTACATCAGAAATATGGCTTTTGGTATAACAATTTCCAAGACAAAATATTTTTCCACATTTATCAATTTTGACAGATTTTGTCTTAGTATGACTCCCTGATATGTAAATACAACTTTAATCCAAAATAAATATTAAATATTTATAAAAATGACTCCTGTATAAATTATCTAGTGTCCAATGAGTTGTAGCATGTTCTGAAGGCATTTTTTCCTGTTGCCTTCTTAGAGACTCTCCTCTGTGAAAAGTCAGATGAAAATGAACCTAATGTTTGGATGTTTTTCCCCATTCAAACATATGAACTCTCAGATCATGATATCTGACTACAAATCATTATTCAGAGGGTTTTTCTAAAACGAGGTCTGACTTTCACAGGAGATTTCCCTCATTGAGCACATTCACATTCCCCCGCCTATGGATTCTCTGGTGGCTGTTGAAGGCTGATCTGTGGTGGAATTTTTTCCCACATTCATTACATTCATAGGGCTTCTCTCCTGAATGAGTTCTGTAATGCACAGTGAGGTACGACTTCTGGGAAAAGACTTTTCCACATTCATTACATTCATAGGGTTTCTCTCCTGAATGGCTTCTATAATGTACAGTGAGGTTTGACATCCGAGAGAAGACTTTTCCACATTTACTACATTCGTAAGGCTTCTCTCCTGAATGAATTCTATGATGTATGGTGAGATATGACTTCTGAGAAAAGAACTTTCCACATTCATAACACTCATAGGGCTTCTCTCCTGTGTGTACTCTCTGGTGTCTAAAGAGGGATGAATTATGGGAGAAGGTTTTCCCACATTCGCTACATCCGTAGGGCTTCTCTTCTGAATGACTTCTATAATGTACAGTGTAGTATGACAAGTCAGAGAACAATTTCCCACATATATTACATTCATAGGATTTCTCTCCTTCTGGAATTGACTGGTGCCCGTCAAAGGCTGAATTTTCAAGGAAAGTTCTCCCACATTCATTACATTGATAGGGTTTCTCTCCTAAAGGAGTTGTATGATGGTCATTAAGATATGAGAATTGAGAAAACTTTCCACATTCACTACATTCAAGGGGTTTCTCATCCGTGTGTACTTTCCGATGTCTAATGAAGGCTGAATTCAAATTGAAGGTTTTGCCACACTCATTACACTCATAGGGTTTCTCTTCTAAATGGCTTCTATAATGTATAGTGAGGTATGACACTCGAGAAAAGAATTTTCCACACTCACTACATTGATAAGGTTTCTCTCCTGTGTGTGTTCTCTGATGTGTAATAAGGGTAGATTTTCGGTAGTAGGACTTTCCACATTCATTACATTTATAGAGTTTCTCTCCTGTGTGTGTTCTCTGATGGTCACTGAGGGCTGACTTGCGGGAGAAGGATTTCCCACACTCATTGCACGGATAGGGTCTCTCCCCTGAATGATTTCTCTGGTGGAGGGTGAGATGTGTCTTTTGGCAGAAGGTTTTGCCACATTCACTACATTCATAGGGTTTTTCTCCTGAATGAGTTCTCAAATGTTGAGTGAGATGTAACTTCTGACAGAAGGTTTTCCCACATTCGTTACATTTATAGGGTTTCTCCTCTAAGTGTGATCTCCGATGTACAGTGAGGGTTCCCTTTTGGCTGAAGGATTTGCCACATACATTACACGCATAAGGTTTCTCTCCTGTGTGAGCCCTCTGATGTATGATGAATTTTGACTTTTTACAGAAGGATTTCCCACATTCACTGCATTCAAAGGGCTTCAGTTCCATCTGTGATCTCTGGTACATATTAAAATTTGACATCTGGAGAAAGTCTGGTCCAGAATCACTCCACTCACAGGGCTTCTCCCCGATATAAGCTCTCTTATGAGATTGATTGTCTAAGGCTTCCATGCATTCATTATACTCAAAGGGTTTCTCTAAAATATTAACTTTCTGAAGAATACTTTCATCATTTTGAGAAAAGCCTTCCCCATTTTGATTAAATTCATAAGGTTTCTCTCCATGGTGTGTTTTCCCACATTCACTACACTCATCAGACTTCTTTCTTGCATAGCTTCCATCACTAATAATTAATTCTGAATTAGATTCTATATTTTTTCCACAAGAGACACAACTATGAGATATGCTTGAAGGAATAAAGTTTGCTTCTGTGTTATAAGTTTTATCAAATGTATTCTCTCTCTCTTCAATTAAGGTTTTACTATTGATATAGTAAGTTTGCCTTGCACGTTCATCTTCATTTTCTTGGATTCTTTCTAATACATCATTAACTTTCTTGATTTTTTCTGAAAAGGAATAAAGTTAAATAAACCTTGTGAATCTGAATGTACCAGCTACAGAATAGAAGTGGTACTCAAGTACCCTATTGTGGGGTTAACTCTTGGCTTTTAGGCCAATTTCCACAAATAAAAAATAACTACAAGTGTATAATCCTCTTTTTCCCTTGATTTGTCATTCAAGACACACACACACACACACACACACAGGTAGAGCTAGGGGAGTCATGGGGAAAGGATAAGGGTGAGGTAGGACTCAGTGTTAGTGGATAAAGGAAGGATAAATTCACTTTGAATACAAGTAGCTTTGTTACTTTACAAATATGTTCAAAACTCTGGTATAAAAGGTAAAATAAACAAGCACAAGTGGTGAGCAGAGAACAAAGGCATTGAAAGAGTGCTAGATCCAGGCAGAGTAAATAGAGGCAGTGGGAGAACGACGACGACTAGATGTATATTCAAAGGAAACATTCACGGATGGATGGCGCTTGGGAGAAATAGGTTATATTAATTGTACATTAAACTGTAAAATCACTCCACAACAAGATTACCACAGTGACATCCTCACTAGCACAGCTCCTTCCAAAACCTCTGCCGTTCTATTCTGCACAGAAATCCAAAGAACAGTCTAAAAGCTCCATCTTCCTCATGTTCAGAGACAGTCCCACAGCCAGGGCCCCAACTCCCTCGCCTGGATCACAGTCGCCAGGAAGGAGGGTTCCCTGGCACATAAATGTCCCAACGACGTAAGAAAGGCCGACGGCAAGAGGCCTTCCAGGAAGATCAGCTCTCTGCAGGTTTTGCAGTCTTATTAACGCTCAGTGAACCTGTCTGCACAGCAGAGCACAGTGTTCAGGGGCACTGGAGCCCCAACACAAACACAGTACAAGCTGGGGACCTTGAGCAGTGACAGCTGTGAGGCTCGCTCACTGAACTGTGGGCAATAGTGCCTAAGCCACAGGGTGGGCAACAGACTGATTTCACTAGCACATGTCATCTGCTTACAATGGTTGGACACAAAACAAATGCTCATGAAGTTTCACCATTAATTCTCTTTCAATTTTCTGATTTAAACTTCCTGCCCTAACCGGTTTGGCTCAGTGGATAGAGTATCGGCCTGCGGACTGAAAGGTCCCAGGTTCGATTCCGGTCAAGGGCATGTACCTTGGCTGCGGGCACATCCCCGGTAGGGGGTGTGCAGGAAGCAGCTGATGGATGTTTCTCTCTCATCGATGTTTCTAACTCTCTATCCCTCTCCCTTCCTCTCTATAAAAAAATCAATAAAATATTAAAAGAAAAAAAAACTTCCTAAAACCAGTCATGTCCCTGACACAACACCATAGCTCAATTCTCAATACAAATAAGAGTTAAAATTAATATAATCTATTTCTCCCAAGCGTCATTTGGTGTAAAACCTTAAATATTAGATTCCAAAAGTTGCCCCTAAAGTAGGAACTTCAGTCTAGGCATCTTACAGATTATGGGATCCTCTAAACTACTATTAGCCACTCTCACCCACACTCACCGCAATACCTAGAATCTGCTCTGAAACCTACAACATCCTGAGCCCAAAGCCCCAAATACAAACAGGAAAAATCTGAGAAGTTGCCATTCACCAGTAAGATTTTTCATTGCCTGGATTCACAGCATCCATTCAAACCAGCACTGCACTGGGCTTCCCAAACCCCCGCTGCTCCAGCAAGCCTGGCTCCTTGCCACCCGCGAGCCTGTCATGTTCCTGTTCACACTTGTACATGCCATAAGCAAAGGGAGGCGGGCAAGACCACAGCACCGGTGACCTGGGGGGCTCTTTTGAGAAGGAAGGGAGGAAGCGGCGGTTGCACCGGCACTGGCATCTGTCAAGGAAGCATCTGCTGGACCACAGGTGAAGGGTTAGGTGTCAGCTGGATCCACAGCATAAATACAAGTTCAAAGTCCTAACAGTGGGGACTACAGGAACCCTTTTAAGGATCCAAAGAAAAGTAAAGGTGTGGAAAGCAGGTCCAGGGTCAGCACTCCTGAGGAAGGCAAGAGGGTGAACTGACCCCGCTGATGAGACTCCCTTCCCGAATGGCTGCTGTGCACACAGGAGCGGCAGACAGACAGCAGGAGCGAGAGATGGGGAAGGAGGAGCGGCCAGTGTCGCGGCCCCCGATCAGCCGAGGGCGCAGCTGGGGAGTCAGCTCCTCCAAACAGCACAAGCACACGCCCTGGGGGTGCTGGCCTCGGAGCTCCGGGAGAGGACACGGGGCTGGCCTGTGAGTGCACGGGGCGGGCAGGGAGCCTGGGGACAGAACACGAGCCTGAGGCATTTCACAAGGAAGGAGAGAAAGTGAGGGCAGAAAGAACACGAGTCTCGAGGAGATTCTGCCAGGCTTCTGAATGCCTGCAAAGGGGAATCTGTGCTAACGGGAGGAGCTTAGTCTCTGAGAACTCAAGAGCCAGAGGAGGGACCGGCCCGCAGCGTGGAAATCACGTGGACACTCACAAAGAAACTGGACACGTGCGGGGGGGAGAGTGCCCTCTGGGGCCCGGAGCTGTGACCTGGGCATCAGGCACCGAGACACCGCCTGGCACTCCCGCAGGCCTGGGGGCCCACTTCTGAAAGTGGGATATTCTGCTAACTCACCTGGGCAACCCTGGCACGGAGGGCCACCTTCTGCCACCCACGGCTCCTCTCCCCGCTCCAACCTGACGATCACGCTGGGCTTGGTGCTGTCGAACCCTGTGGCGGGAAAGGAGACGGGCGGGCTTGGAGCAGCTGCTCCTGCCGCAGAGGCTGCACGGTAAGGTGGCCTTCGCACCTTATCAAAGGCAGAACTTTTGTTTTATTTATTTTTTGTTAATCCTCAGCCGAGGATATTTTTTTCCATTGATTTTTAGAGAAAATGGACAGGACGGGGAGAGAGAGACACACATCAATTGGCTGCCTCCCATACATACCAACAGGGGCCAGGGTTCGAATCTGCAACCGAGGTATGTGCCCTTGACCAGGAATCGAACCCACAACCCTCTGGTGCACAGGCCAACCTCTAACCACTGACCCCACCAGCCAGGGCCAAAGTTAGAACTTTCTGATGGAGAAGCAGAGATACAAATACGCTCCCTGGTGCCCAAACAGAATTCAATAGTCTTATCACCTATTTCTTCAAACTTGAGGATAAAGCCATTGAACAGAAGCCCCCCCACAGTTCAGGGAGCTGCTCTGCTCACCCACGGAGACGAGGTGGCTGTAGTTCTCCAGCATCACGTCCCTGTAGGTGGTCTTCTGCTCCGGGCCCAGCTGCTGCCACTCCTCCTGGGTGAAGTCCACGGCCACGTCCCTGAATGACACTGGCTCCTGTAATGGCAGCGCGATGGGAATTGGGAACCGGGACAAGGCGTCCTGGGACAAGAGCTTACCGAGCTCACTGGTCAAGGCAACCAGGAGCCCTGTAACCCTTTTATGTTACAGGTTGTGGGAGGGAAACCATGTCAGAAACGCATGGCATTTGGGTTCCTTCTTGTGTCTAAAAATAACAAAACCCTCAAACCAAAAAGAGACTTTTCTGATTCTGCAGTGGAAGTCACTGAGTCTGGGGGCTGCGCTCCTGCTCTCAGAAAGCTACAGCCGGATCCGGAGGCAGCAGGGAATGAGCACCCCCCCCCCCTCCTGTTTCCTCAGGCGCCTTTGCGGCGGCTCCTCTCTTCCCTGCCTCTTGGTGCTGGCGCCCGGACCCTCCCGGTCTCCTCCTCCCCGCTCCACTGCCAGCTCGGAGCCTCTGACTCCGTCACAGCCGGCTCTCCGCCGACTAAGCTTTCTCCTGCCTCCCGCTGTAGCTCAGCACCACCTGCTCGCAGCAGGAGTATCGGTGTCTGCACGATGCCCGAGGTGTTATTCGAGCGATGCATGCAAGAAGCAAATTATTTTTTTAAAATATATTTTATTGAGAGGAAGGGAGAGGGATAGAGAGTTAGAAACATCGATGAGAGAGAAACATTGATCAGCTGCCTCCTGCACATCTCCTACTGGGGATGTGCCCGCAACCCAGGTACATGCCCTTGACCAGAATCGAACCTGGGACCTTTCAGTCCGCAGGCCGACGCTCTATCTACTGAGCCAAACTGGTTTCGGCAAGAAGCAAATTATTGTCACTTCCTGTTGCAGCTCAGGCTCCCGGGCTCTGCTGAGGATTCCACAGGAGGAGAAGAAAGAGGAGGAGGGGCGAGAAGTGCCAGTGGCAAACACAGAAGCGGCACCAGTGCCAGGGCTGGCACGGCAGGGGCAGGAGGGCCCTTTGCTAGGACAGCTGGTTCACAGGAGGAAGGGATTCTAATTCGAGGGTCAGCTGAGCACACACCACTACTTTCCTGCCCAAGACAAACCCAAAAGCCCAATTCAAAGAAATATGTGGGCGGAGCCACCCTCCAGGAGCACTGGGCACACTGGCTACAAAGCAGGCGCTCCTGAGGAATCCCTGAGATGCGGGGTCGAGTAGACGAGAAACCAGAGCTGCGGACACGTGTACAGGCAGGTGCGGGGCCGCAGCCCAGGTGACAGCAGACTCGCCCACAGAGCCCCCGAGCACCCCGAGGTCCAGCAAGAGGTCCGTGGGGCACAGCGCCTGGCCGACTGAAACCGGCCGCAGGACACCGGGCAGCTCATGCTTCCTGCTCTGTGCGCAGAGCAGCCAGATGAAGCTGAATCTGGTGAACCCCTGTGGCCAAGCATAGAGGTACATCACACTCCAGACCCCTAACTAGGGTGATGACATACTCACTGTCCAAGCAGAAAAGTTCTGTCGGGCAAATAAGGCCGATGGGACAGCAGGAATGGACGTTAGTCCAGGACCATCTCAGGCAAAGCAGGACAGTCAACTCTCTCCACTGAAGGTGGTGTCCTTCCTGGAGGCAATGCTCAGGAAACCAGCCCACCAGAAAGCAGCCGAGCACGCCAGCTCGGACAAACACAGTGAGGAGAACCTGCAGCCTGTGCACTGCTGGGGCGTAAAGTGGGGCAGCGGCTGTGGACACAGTATGACGGCTCCTCAAAAACTCAAAAACAGAACAATCACATGACCCAGCAGCCCACCTCTGGGTCTACACCAAAAACACAGAAAGCAAGGACTGAAGAGGTATGTGTACACCCTTGTGCACAGCAGCATTATTCCAACGGCTAACATGGGGAGGTAACCAAGTGTCCATTACCGGATGAATGGATAAGCAAGACGTGGTCTGCGCACACATGGAACATTATTCAGCCTTAAAAAGAAGGAAACTTTGACAGGTAGTACAACATGAATGAAGTTCAAGGACACATGCTAAGTGAAACACTCCAATCACAAAGACACAAACACTACGATTCCCCTTACACGAGGCCCTTAGGGAGTCAGATCACAGACAGGAAGCAGGAGGGAGGTTGCCGGGGGGCAGGGGAGATGGGGAGTTCGTGTTTAACAAGGACGGAGTTTCAGTTTTGCAAGCTGAGAAGCATTCTGGAGACGGATGGCGGTAATGGCCGCACAACAATGTGGATGCACTTAATGCCACTGAACTGCAGTATTTAAAGATGGTGAAGACAGCGAATTTTGTGTTATGTGTATTTTACACAATGAAAAATTGAGGGGAAAATGATGTGATACCAACCGAATTAGACACATATCCCTCCCATCCCTGCTGCAGCCCTTCCCTCCACACAGGGGAGAGGAGCCAAACGGGCTCATAGCCAACATGCTCACGTTAGCATTATTACCTCCACAACGGAAATTAAAAACATCAAAAATCACCAGCTGAGGGAAACAGTATAAATAAAAGATAAACATCAAAATGAATAACCCAACCACAATAGAATCAAATTCATAAAGAAAGCATCTTATATAACTTTATATTGATTTATATTTTTAATAAATTTACATTTTGTGTTGATTTATATTTTTAATAAATTAAGCAACATATTGCTTCCATAAATGAGAACAGTTTGCTAATAAACAGCCACCGGAGAATACTTAGAAATTAGAGACTGCGTTATTGAATTTTTTCAAGATCCTCAAGTAAGAAGCTTGAATAACAAATGAGACAGAATATATGTGAGGAAGGCTCTCAGAAAATCAGAAACTGAAATGATGAAAGAAAACCTGAGAGGAGAAAGCCAGACCCAACAGGTTCAACATTTTCAGGAAGACGGATGTGGAGGAGCCACAGGAAATGCCAAAGGCAGAGCGGAAACTGGTTCCTGAGCTGAAGGCTCAGGCTCGCCTGCACTCCAAGGGGGCCATCTCACACCCAAAGGAGAACGCTGGGCGGAGGACAGAGATGAGAAATTTCCTGATAAAATAGCCCAGAGGATGAGGGAAAATCCAAAACATTACAGAGGAAAAAATACCCGCGCCTTAGTAACTGACATTGTTTCTCCTGGAGAACAGCCGACAACTTTTAAAAGGAAAAGCTTCTGAACCTAGAACTGTGTATCAAGTCAAACTATCACGGACACTTAGCGATACTCTAAGGTGCTTTCAGAAAAGCGAGACGACGCCTTCTCTAATAAAACAGCTGCCTACAGCGCGACCGCTCTTCTCCACTGGACCCCCAGCGCCAGCGAAGAGGAGCGCAGCCACGGGAGCCACGGGAGCCACAGGAGACCCGCAGGCCGGAGCCCAGTGCTGTGAAGGAGCAGCTTGAGGAACTGCAAACATTTAAGTCCTGTTTCAGGAGGGAAGTGCTCAGTAAACGAGCTCCATTCTCCTACTATTTGCAAAGGCTGTGTCAACAAAGGTCTAGACCGCGGACAGGGCCCCACGGTGGGTCCTATAGCTGCGCTGCCCTGGCGGCGGAGGCAGAGCCGCCTGACAGCAAAGCAGGACATCCACCCAGGAGATTCCAAGGACCAGCCCGGTGAGCTATCGAATCACCGGGAGGAGGCAGTAAGCTTCTGGCGTAAGCTAGTCCGCAAGGCCAGGAGGGGTAGGGTTAGAAGATGCTTCATCAGTCGGTAACATGCATACCAATATCACTTATACCAACACAAACATTCAAAACAAAATATCAGCAACAGAACTCAATACCAGATTGAAGAGATCACATATAATAGCTACATGGGACTTATTCCAGGAATTCAGACTAGGTTAATACCTGGCAATCCATTAATATAATGTACCACTAGAGTACGGATCAGAAGGAAAATCTTGTAACTGCAAAGATGCTGAATAGGCCTCTGGGAATATTCAAAATGCACACTGAATTTAACAAAGAAAACCCTCAAAAAATAGAAATGGATTGATACTTCACTAACATGAATATGTATATATTTACACACGAAGTCTTATAATGTGCATAGTATGTGATATATGCATATGTATGTGATACATATATACATATCTATCTCAATCACACACAAGCACACATGTACACTTTTTAAATTTATACAGACACACACATGCTTGCACGCACACATATGTATGCTTCTGTCCTCTCAAGTTTTAAAGTCAGGAATTTCTTTAATGGGAAACACTAGCCATTCATGAGATGGAAATGCACAGCTCCGGCCTGCAAGGCCCAGCCTGGGCCCGGGGAGAGCTGAGACCGAGGAGAGGAGAGAGAGTTAAATGTCGTCCACAATCCCGGACCGCAGCCTCCACCTGAAATTAAAAACAGGAAATCCTGGGAAACTGGCTAAACCGAAAGGTGAATGTGGATTAGATAAAAGCATTATATCAATGTTAAACTTCCTAAATTCAGTCACTGTGCCAGGAACATGTAAGAGAATATTCTTGATCTTAGAAGGTTAAATCTGAAATACAGGTTAAGGGGGCATGACATCTGACACCCATTCTCAAATAACTCAGAAAAAAATGTAATACACACAGAGAGAAAATAAAGCAGCAAAAGTTAAAAAATGTCAAAAACTGGACCATCTCAGCAGCAGGAACATGGAGTTCTTGTACAATCCTTGTGACTGTTCTGTAAATTTGAAGTTTTTCAAAATAAAATGTTGAATAGAATACTCTAAAATGCATAGGGAATGTTTCAAAAAGGTGCAGAACTACTGTGAAGGGATTCAAAGATGGGCCACTGAAACATCAAAAAGAGTAACAACTTCAATCGCTACCAAATCCATTTAACCCCTGAGCTCATCGAGACGACAGACTCAAACGCAAAGCCCTGTCCCTCAGGCCGGCCCAGGGCTTTGGAAACTGTCCTTCCCTATGGATCTCAGGGCCAAGCGGAGCGAGGTTCTTCTCAGAAGAGTATCCCAGCTCGTAAATGAAGAAGAGCGGTAAAGACGCTTGTCACCATCGGGTCTCCCCTAGTGAATTCGTGGATCAGGGCAACGGATATCAATCAACAGACCTCACATCACAAGACGAGACAGGAAGGCAATACGGGCTCCAGCAGGAAGAGGACAAAGGCGTGGGCAGCACAGTCTTCCCAGAAGAACTGAACGTAAGCCTGAGGAAATGCCCAGACCTAACTACCAACTTTACCAGGAGTGCAGGGGATTTAAAAAGCAAAGTTAAAACAGGCAGCAATGCAATCAGCACAGTCCGCGCTGGGGAAACTGAGGATAAACACCCCAATTTACTTTTTAAACATTTTTTAAAGACTTTTAATTGATTTTTAGAGAGAGGAAGGGAGAAGGAGAGAGAAACGTCAATCGGCTGCCTCCCGCATGCCCCCACTGGGGACTGAGCCCGCAACCCAGGCATGTGCCCTGACCTGGAATCACCAGCGACCTCTCAGCGCCCAACCAATTGAGCCACCAGGGCCAGGGCACAACCCAATTTCTTCAGAAAACAAATTTCAAAGAAATGACACGAGACATACAGGGAAAGTTAACATTAAAAGAGGCCAACTGCAACATATGGCCTCTATTTGTATCCTGATTGAAAAGAACAAATTAAAAATAAAAACATTTAGAAAACTGAAATTTGGACACTGGATCTTACATAACAAAGGACAGTATTGTGAATTATCCCCGCCCACCTGTGGAAAGCCTCTTTATTCTTCAGAGATACATTGAGAAATATAGGTCAATTTTTTTTTTAAGCCAAGTAAAGGGAGAAAATATCATTTGGAAGAAACAGATGTCACAGGCAGATGCATGGTCACGTGAGGAAAAGGACTGGCAAATGTCCACAGGACTCGACTATAATTAGGTCACTGCTAATCTTCACCAACAGATGCAGGCAAGTGGGCAGAACTAAGCCCTGAGGCCTGAAGCGGGAATGGGGAGTGAGGGCACCCTTACCAGAGAATACTTTTTTGTACTGTTTGCTGGGCAACCCAATAAACAGACGAACAGAAACATCTAAAGGATGAACAGGTCAGTGCCCCTTGACTTCGGTGTTATCCCTGGATTAAATAGTAACAATGGAAATGTATCTATTTCGATCACAATTATTTTGGTGCCTGAAAAAACCAAAATATTGTTCTCTTGGGCAGGAGGCCCTATGCTTACAAAAGCGAGTACAAGCCATATATTGCAATGACTTCCTGGTTGCTATTATGAAAGCTATCCACACTGTATCAACTTTATTAAAGAAAAATTCCCAAGTCCTAGTAAATCTTTACAACCCACAACTAACAAATCACATCGTCTCTTAGAGTCTACACAAATCACTCAGTGGGTGGTACTTCCCTTTTCCTAAGATGGTCAAGGGCATTGGTCGTATTTGCAGCTCAACCTCAATCGCCCTAAAGTATCCTACTACCTGGACATGTGAATTCGACAAAGATTCTGGTGCTGACCCGCCGACACTCTCGGAACTGCATTTCACACAGCCTTTTCCCTAGCTCCACGTTCCCAGTTTAAAGCGTGGGCCCTTATAAACTTCCCAACCTGTCTTACAGAGCAAGGTGGGAAAACTCACCTGGGACTCATGCATTTTCTGCTGCTCTTGGAGAAGTGTGCAGGTTGTTAACAGCGGACCTAGGGGAGAACAAGCAAGTCACTGAAGTCATGAGTACCCTGGCCTGTGTGGCTGGGAACCTTTTGCATGAGAATCGCCAAAGAAAACGCAATGAAATGATGCCCTGTGAACACTCAGATAGGGCTCAAGGGTGACAGAGAGACATACCGGAACCACTGCCACCCCAAAAGGATGGAGGTAATCCGACAGGTTCCTCCCAGTGAATATAAACACTGGCTCCGTTTTCAAAAGGTTGGCCACCCTTAAATAAAAGGTGGTTGGGGGGGAGGGGGTGCGGGGGGAATCCTGTTATACTGTTGACCTATTTTCTTACTTTTCTTTCAATTGTTACAAATCAAGGAATACAGAGGAACACAGAGTATGTGCTCTCAGAAACGGGATAAATGTGCATCACGGCGTGGTTTTATCTGACAAGACGTGGTTAGTGCTGCACTTACTCTCTTAAGAAAACCGGGGTACAGTGGGCACAACGCTTGGCCTGGGAGCCTGAGTCCTGTTTGCGATCCCACCCACAGGCGGACACCCGGGCAAGCCCCGCCCTTCTCAGGCCCAATCTCCTCCGCTGTCACCGAGGCGACAGGGCGCCCCCTGCGGGCTCATCGAACCGCGGCACCCGGACGGCACGGGCAGCTCCGAGGGGAGTGGGCACACGCCTAGGCCGGTGAACTAGGTCCTGGGGGACGTTTAGAAACGTCTGGAACCTGGGGAGGGCGGGGCGGAGGAAGGGGTGTTGTGGGTGCAGGGAGCAGGGGCACCTCGAACCCAGGCTGGGACCCCCGAGGCCCCCAGGAGACAGGGAGGTCCCCGGTCAGGGAGGGGGGGCGCCCGCACCCGGCAGCCTGCCCCTCCGCCTCTGACACGCGGGTCCCCGGGAAGCGGTCCACGCTCCCGGCCGCAGACTCCCGTGTCCTCGTCGGGGCGAGTCCCCAGCCCTGCTCACCGCGGCCGGGAGGACCCAGAACTGCCGCGGCCGCCAGCGCACGACCGCCCGTCGGGACTCGCTGACCCGCCCCCAGGCTCCCCGGGCCCCCGCCTCTGCGCCGCCCAAGCCGCGTCCCCGAGGAGCCGGCTCTGGGCCTACGGGACACACTCACTCAGGAGAACGTCCCTGCCGGGGCCTCACCGCCCCGGGCGCCGCGATGCCGACGGGCCGGGCCCGACCCCGCCGCCGCCCAGCTCCTCAGGCCTTGCCCGCGGGCTCCGGGGCCGCCTCCGGGTCCCCGCTCCAGACTCCGCCCGCACAGCCCCGCGCCCGCTGCGTGGCGGCCCGACCGGACAGCGCCCAGCCCCGCAGGCCCCGGGATCGTCGCCCAACAGAGGCCAAGGCTTGGGCACCGGGGGCAGCGGTGACCTGGGCTCGGACAGGAAGCGACAGCAGCGTGGCCGCAGGGCGCCTGCGCGAACACGCACACAGCCCGAGTGCACATGCGCGCGAGGACGCCGGACGTCGCCGGCCGGGGCCCACCCGGGGCAGCGGGACTCCATTTCCCATAAGTCCGCGTGCCGTCCAGTTAGGGAGCGTCTTCCAAGTCTCCCGCTCGTCCGGCGGTGGAGAGCTCGCCGCCGAGGCGGGACGCCAGTTTCCCCGTAACTGAGGAATGTCTGCAATGTCGACGCCGCACCAGGTTCTCGGCGCCCTGGCCTTTCGGTATCTGAGAGCTTAAAGCTTAGAACCAGTGACCACTAACAACCCTGGTAAATCAGGGACAGGGGTGTGTCATGCTCACTGACACGTGCGGCATTTAATTAAAATTTTAGTAAATCGAGTTCTGCGATAACTTCATAGAGCCTGAGTCTGGATGCCTCCCCCGTTGGGAAACAAACCCACCCCTGACACGGACGTGTTTCCTCCGGGGCCTCTCCACTCAGTCCCTCGCCTTTGCAGAGCTGCTCCCAGCTCCTGCACTCCTGCGTCCCCTGAGCTATCCCAGCGGCCTGCGAGCACCCCCTTATTTCCCTCCTCACTTCGAGAATACTGGGGACCAGCTATGATTGTAAGAAACATGAATCCTGCTCTGGGAGCCGCGACTGCTTCGTTCTGATTACAGAAGGCGCATGCTCACCTGGCTGGAGTTGCAGTGGGACCTGGGAGCTCACCTGGAAAGGCGGCCCCTCCTCCCCATCCAGCAGCTGCCTATTATCATGGACAGATTAGCAACCTTGTTGCAGGAACCAGAGCCGCCAGCCCTGTGAAGACCCCCAGCCGTGGCTTACCCACAGGCCTTTGCAAATCTGCAGCCTGCACTACCCATTTGGCATCCCTTTTGCCTACTTCCCCGTGTAATCTTTGTCTCCTCCGTATAAGCAGCTGGCTTATGGGGGCAGCGCAGATGTTTGGGGGCGACCTGCTGCTCTGCCTGCTGCCGGCAGGACTGGAACACACGCTCATGTAGGATTCAACCCCGTCTCTGCTTCATTGGCTCAAGCATGACAGGCAGCCCGGACCCACTGGTTGTCCGGTTACAGACCCTCACCTGTCTGTCTTCCTGGCCACCTGAGCCCTGACCAGCTCCGGCCGCGCCCAATGTGCTGTGTAGTGAAGTCTGTGGTGGTCCTTGTCCCTGGGTCTTGGGGGAAGCCCCTCAATCTGGAAGGTCCTGAGCGATCGGGATGTCCGTTACCCATGCTGGGCCCCTTGGCGCACCCCTGGGTTATGCTGAAGGGGTGACTCAGGGTGGCGTCAGCCCCACTCCGGAGGGGAGCGGGGTGGAGATTGAGTTGGATCAGTCCCGGGCCAGTGGGTGGAAAGATCGCGCCTGCACAGGGAAACACCAATAGAACACCCAGGTGGCCAAGGCTCAGGGCAGCGCTCTGGGGGTGAACATCTGGGTGCCTGAGGCACAGCCTGCGGACACGGAAGCTGGGCCCTGGGAAGTGCCCGCGTTCTCTGACGCCCCATCTCCCAGGCCTTCTCCATAGCCCTGTGCTCAGGGACTAGCGCCTCTTTCCCCATGCCCACCGCACCCAACAGCTTGAGCTCATCCTTTGTTCCCTTCCCCCCACCCCCCTGGGAAATTTCAACAATACCCTCATTTCTTTAAAAAAAATTTTTTTTTAATGTTCTGATTGCTTTTTAGAGAGAGGGGAAGGGAGAGGGAAAGAGAAACATCAATAAGAGAGAAACGTTGATGGGCTGCCTCCTGCACGCGCCCTGCTGGGGATCCAGCGGGCAACCCGGGCCTGTGCCCTGATGGGGAATCAAGCCCTCGCCTCTTGGTACCTGGGTCCACGCTCGGTCCCTGGGCCACACCAGCCGGGCCCTCGCTCCTTTTCCGTGGTCTCTACTTCACCACAGGCTCTGACTTTCCTTCCACCACGTAAACCGCAATGGGAGGCTGTGAAAGGGGCGCCCTCAGGGCGAAACAGTGAGCAGTGTGTCGTGTGCCTGTGGGTCTGCTTGTCACAGCCCGCTTCCAGGGAGGCAGGTCTCGCTGGGTCACGCGTCCTCATTTCGAATTTCAGATGATGTGCAGGTGCCGTGGCGCTTTCTCCCGTCTTTCTCCTCTTCCCATTCTCCTCCCTCCACGGCGCCCCCTTTCCTGCTTTCAGTCTCTCTCTAGCTTAGGACCTGCCTCAACTTCTATTTTTTTTTTCTACGTGAAAAATAACTGGGGATTGTTTTTAAAAGTTAAACAAATTGGTTGAATAATCACACCCCATTCAGCTACATTATCATTTGACAGTGAATGGGCTAACCAAACGAGTACCACAACACAAACTGTGAAGGTGAGAATTTCATCTTTATTATGCTTCCTCAAGAGATGCGTCGCACCGTGCTCCTTAATGATCTACAGTATCATACAGACGTGTCATCCAGGCAAGCTAAAAAATTACAACTCAGGCCTCGCAATTCAATAAGCAAGGCCAAAAAGTAAAAATGTATAGTTTCAACAGTATGGCAGAACTACCCACCTAGCTGTAAGATAATTGGTATTATATAAATATAATGTAAAAACCCTTAAAAATGCAAACAAAATTATATTCACAAATATATATATATAACAGCTGTAATACCCATCAAAAAACTTTGTAGGAGCAGCATGTTTTCAAAACTACGTCTATTTAAAACTATTTAAAATAGATATATAAATGTTAAATATAAGAATAATCCCGTGGGCAACATTTTCAAAGTAAAGTGATAGAATGCGTGGCCTACATGAACCCGATGGCTCTAGTTTTATGCTTTTCAGGTGTTCCCCTGCCATTCTGAGCCCCTACACGCCTCCTTCTGATGGGTCTCGTCTATTGAAGTTAAGCATCTAAAAAAATGGAACCTCCGATGTCTACCTCAGGGGAGATTTGAAGGAAGGAATCTGAAATGTTGGGTGGTGCCTTAGGAAGGGATGGAACCTTAAAAAAACACCTGGTTCCTCTTGTCCTTCTAAGCCCCAGGGACTAGAAGTGGCCCCGGGAGATGTCGTGATAACTATCCGGCTCCTTCTAGAACATTCTGGGTTCTGCGAGACGATCTGCGCCGGAGGTCCTCGTCCCCTTCCTCATGTCTGTCATTCGCGTCTGCATGGACTCCCTGCTGGAAACTGGAGTCCCCCCTGGGCTCAGCGATCTGTAATGTAAGTAAGAGAAAGAGACGGATGTCGCATTTCCGAGAGGCAACGCTCCAGACAGAAAGGTTATTCGCATTCTCAGGCAACGCCAAGAGTCACCTACAAATCCAACTTTGTCTCCAGTCCTCCATCTCCACCCCAACCTTGAACCACCGTTTTCACTTGTGATTCTTTGATGACTCGGAGTCTAAAAGTGACTTAACCGCCCCCCTGCCCGCAATCCGCTGTCCACACTTTGGTCTCTGTGCTACGTCACCTCTGGGCTTCCAGCCGCTCCGCAGGCATCACTAACGTGTCCTGCCACAGACCGCGATCCCTCGCCCTCACCCTGACCTCAAGTGTAGCCATAATGAGGACTGCCTGAACTCGGCTGGTGCGTCCGAATGTTTGTGTCCTAAGTTGGCACACTGGCCCCTGAGGGGAGGGTTAGGGTGGGTTCTTTGGGACGGATTAGGTCATTGGGCGGCGCCCTTATAAATGAGGTTAGTGCCCTAAGGAAAGACCCCAGAGAGCCCGCTGGCACAGCTCAGCGGCTGAGCGGCGACCTAGGAACCAGGAGGTCGCAGTTCGATTCCGGTCAGGGCACATGTCCGGGGTGCGGGCTCCATCCCCAGTGTGGGGCCTGCAGGAGGCAGCCGGTCAAGGAAGTGTCTATCTCTCTCCCTCTTCCTTCCTTTCTGAAATCAATAAAAATATATTAAAAACAAAAGAAGACCCAGAGAGCTCCCTTGCCCCTTCCACGTGTAAGGCCGCGTGGTGAGAAGTGGGCCCTGAGCGAAGGGTGGTGTGAGCGCGGAGGGTGGTGTGTGCGCGGAGGGTGGTGTGTGCGCGGAGGGTGGTGTGAGCGCGGAGGGTGGTGTGAGCGCGGAGGGTGGTGTGAGCGCGGAGGGTGGTGTGTGCGCGGAGGGTGGTGTGAGCGCGGAGGGTGGTGTGTGCGCGGAGGGTGGTGTGAGCGAGGAGGGTGGTGTGAGCGCGGAGGGTGGTGTGAGCGAGGAGGGTGGTGTGAGCGAGGAGGGTGGTGTGAGCGCGGAGGGTGGTGTGTGCGCGGAGGGTGGTGTGAGCGCGGAGGGTGGTGTGAGCGCGGAGGGTGGTGTGAGCGAGGAGGGTGGTGTGTGCGCGGAGGGTGGTGTGAGCGCGGAGGGTGGTGTGAGCGCGGAGGGTGGTGTGAGCGCGGAGGGTGGTGTGAGCGCGGAGGGTGGTGTGAGCGCGGAGGGTGGTGTGTGCGAGGAGGGTGGTGTGTGCGCGGAGGGTGGTGTGTGCGAGGAGGGTGGTGAGTGTGTGTGAAGCGGGGGGGGGGGGGCGTGAACATGGGGCCAGCCATCAGATTTCTCGGATTCCCTAGAGACAGCCAATTCCCCGGCTGTGCCCATGAGGACACAGCCCCCCCCCCACACCTACCTGAGGCTCGGGGGTCTCCGGCCGGAGGGCACAGTCCCGCCCCCACACCCAGAGCTGGGGGTGGAAAGCCTGGATCTGCAAGGACAAACAGCCCTGAAAAGGCGGTGGCTCTCAGGTGCTCTCACCTGCCCTTGTCCAGCCCCAACCCTCCCCCCTCAAAGCCCAGCTCCCACCCCCACGGCCCCCTCTCTCCAGCTGACCCCTCTCCCCAGGCCCCCACGGCCACCCACCTGCTCACACTCTTCCCGCGTGACCCTGGCCCTCCAGCCCATGGAGCGGAAGAGCTGGAACCGCAGTTTGTGGAACAAGGGGCTCCGGGAGCAGCTCCCCCCCGTAGAGGAAGGGCAGGATGGCCTGCTTCGGGGCGTGGTTGTCCTCCTCCATGTCGCTGGCCAGGTAGCTGGGGAGAGGGGGCCCGTCAGGAGCAGGACGGGGGCCCCTGGGAGGCCAGCGTC